ACAATTTTATTCAAAATTAATATATTCCTTTATTAATCTTCAATGTGCTTTAGACCAAAAAAATAAAATATTTAATAGTCTAAAACGAGATAGTTTAATAAAACCAATGAACCTCAAGGAAGAGTTGTAAAGAGATGAGTTTAAATTTTGGGTAAATTGCTCTAAATAGTGAAAAACATCATAGTTTTGTTTTGTTTTTTTCCTTAATTCGCAACAAAAATTGTACCCGTTAAATTTGGGTATACTAATTGGTACATTGCAATTTGATAGATATTTTTGAAATATGATTGGATTCAAAATTACTTTAGTGTCGTTCCAAACAAGGCATAAAGTTGATATGTACCAACCGTGTCAATCAATATGAAATGGTATTAACAACCTTGATCTAGCTTGATATCTTCTTCTCCAACAAAATTAGATGCGATGGAAAAAAACCTCTTCTTCAGTTAGGGTTTGTTTGTTAGAGTGTTTTCTTTTTTAGGGTGTTCTTAAATTAGATTTTGACAAATCTCAAAAGTAATTTTTTCTCCAATAATTTTAAAAGTGCACCTCAACGTTGCCTCAATATATTTAAAAAAATTAATTTTCGTGATATTAGTCTTTAAATTACTTGAATTATAAATCTAACTTACAATATTGCAATTATTTATCTGTGAATTTAAAACTCTTAAATTTAAATTATAATGACTAGTGAATTTAGAAGTAGCAGACTTAATTAGAGCTAACAAATTAATGGGTGAGTGGACTAGGTTGGAGTTGGGTAATTAATTGTAAATCATAAATCAAAAAAATTAACTGATGCGTTCATCGATTGTGACCCAACTGAAGTGGGCCACAAATAAAATGAATAGAACTAATACGAGGTTGCAAGTCAATAACTCTTATTTATGGCTTATTTTAAGTGAGTGAGTTTGTTACTTCTACCATATATATCTAATCTAATGTAGGAAGAAGACGCATGAAATGTGATGTATGAAACTTTTGGTCTGTGGAACCGTGAGTTGGGATAGATCACCAATCAGTAAGTCTAAATAGTTTTAACTTACATACTATCTTAGGTGCGATCACAACAGCGTTAATACATCGAATCCCATCAAAACGTGCAAGAAAGCTTTTTATTACACATAAAAGCTAGAATCCAAGTGCATCCTACTTAAATTTTAGAGAGAGACTTTTAATTTGTTCCAGACTTTCCTGCATAGCAGGAGTAGAAAACACAGCTTCCCACCCCCGCTGCGACGGATGCGCGAAGTCCCAAAAGAAACTGATATTAGGATCATCACACACTGTGTACTGCCTTTCCCCATTCGCATCCACACTTCCACACACTAATTCGCTGCTTGTTCCAACACAACATGCCTCATATGGATTCTCAAACGTTGCAGTAGCAGTATTGAATGCAGTGTAAAGATCAAGAGTGATGAAGTTGGAAGTGCTGTTGGTTTCGTTGTTCAATTTGTACACAGCTTCTCGCAGGTATAGGTTGTGGATGTCGGAAAGGACGTTAATGGTTCTATTGCACTCTTGAAATGTCATGGCGTTCTCAGGGAGACAGCCTAAGGGTTCCAGGGTATTCACTGCTACTTTCATAATTCCCAAGTTATAAATGCGTTTCAGGTTGATTGCAAGTTGATCTACCACTTGTTTAACGTAGGATTCCAATTCGTCCAAGGTCTATCATCAAAAGTGTAATATACAACCCGTTATCAGATATACTAAAATAAAAATAAATGAAATCATTAAAATTCATACACATGACAAACAAATATCAGTGCATCGATATGATAAATGTTTAATTACCTCATAAACCCCTTGTAGTATTGAGTAGTCATTGCCTGCGAGGCTGACAAAGGCCATAGAAGAGTTGAGCTCGCTCTCAGTGTACACAGACTGGTTGACGATATACTCAAAGTAATCGATCTGAGTCGTCATGTTTGGTCGTTCAGCAAACACGCCTGTCCCTCCATATGCGAAGTTCATTCCATATGTCAGCTCCTCATCCAAGCATTGTTGTAATTGTATGTTTGTATTAGTGAATCGTTGCAAGAAGGCCCATAACGTGTATGGAAGTGGTGTCTCGATTTTCAAGTACTCCGCTGTACCAAGAAATCATGCAAGATCATCTTTCATATATGGTGTTCAAAAAGAAAAGAAATCATGATCTTCACCGATCAAACTATAAATATAAAATAACTTGTTGATGCACGACCCCCTGCTCTCCAACTTAGCCCTTTCTTTGTATAGTTCTTTGGTAAAATTTTATGTTAAGCCCCCAAACTTACCATATATTCTCAATTAAGCTCTTAAGTTTTCATTAAAGCAAATAAGTTTATGCATTTATCAATTTGAACAATTTAACCATATTTTTTTAAGCAGATTTAACACCAATTTGTATCTTACTTGCATAGATAAGGTTAATACTTATCACATAAATGATCATATGTTAATACCTTATTTACACAAGTGATACACAAATTGAACGTTAAATTCATTATAAAGAAAAGAGACTAAATTACTTAAATTGCTAAGTTTAAGGCTTTATTTGCTTCAGTAAAAGTTTAGGGACTTGATAAAAAATTTTAAAATTTGAGGGCTTAATATAGGTTTTGCCTAGTTCTTTCGTCCCCAATTACG